CTTCAGATGCAGAGACAACTTTTCTAAACGTTGTAAAAGGATACCACATACAGCTTTATATGAATAAATTGGAAAATCTAGATAAAAGAGATAATTTTCTAGGAAAATATGAATTATAATAATTGGTTGAGAAGTAGAAAATCAGAAGAAACCAACATCCACGGAAGAGATGTAACGATAGTCAAAGATCTAGCCTTCGAAACTGCACCAGGCCTGGATGGTTTTTTTCTTTTTTTTGTAGATTTGCCCTGAGCTAACATCTGTTGCCAATCATTTTCTTCTTCTTCTTCTCCCCAAAGCCCCCAGTACATAGCTGTATATTCTAGTTTAGGTCCTTCTGGTTGTGGCACGTGGGACGCCGCCTCAGCATGACCTGATGAGCGGTGCCATGTCCGTGCCTGGGATCCGAACTGGTGAAACCCTGGGCCATCAAAGTGGAGCACGTGAACTTAACCACTCGGCTGTGGGGCCAGCCCTGATGGTTTCATGGTTAAACTCTACTAAACCCAAAAAGAAATAGGTAATTCTCACATCGTCCAAACCCCTCCCTGCACGGGAAAAGATGGAAAGCAGCCAAACCCATTCATGAGGCTATTAAAACCCTGATACCAAAATTGGACAAAGATAGCAGAGTAAAAGCTCTGTGTAGCCCAATCTTTCTTATGAACACAAACACAAAGGTACTAAATCACATTCTTTATCATGCCCAAGGAGGTTTTTCCCCAAGGTGTAATGATAAGTTAATATTGACAGTTATCAACATAATTCACTTCATTATTGCTTACAGGGAAAACAAACATAATATCTCAATTGATGTAGCAAAAGCATTTGATAAAGTTCAACACCTATTCACACCATCCCTGCCACTCTTCTCTAAAGGACTCATCCTGATCATATGAGAATACAACACAGAATACTGCCGTCGCGCAGCACCGTGGTACACTGGCACGGCGTTCACTGTCAGAATGGGAGATAGTATTCAGTTGTTTGATTCCATTCAGGTCGTGAGTGTTTCCAGAAAAAGTCCTGTGGGGAATTTCTATTTTGCAAGAATGAAATGAAGCAGACCCTCCAGGAGGAAAATCTCTAAAGTTGTATACAACTGTGCCTTTGATAAAGTGTCTCCAATCTTAAAATAACACAGGAGAACATATGAAGAAAAGAATCAAGTTTTAGAGAAAAATGAGGTTCTCAAAACACATTTTGATCTCAACTAGACAAACTTCAAACCAGACTTTACAAAATGCTTTAGGAAAACAATTGCTGAACAATTTAAAGGAACTCTTGTCACAAGGACTGCTATCGATGCCAACCGTCTTCAGTAACTAAAGACAAAGGGCTTTTGAGATTTGCCCCATCTCTTAATCTTAGGTACAAAGTTCCTTGCGGGAAACACGCTACTAAAACCTTTCTTCTGAAACCCAGCGGGCTGCTCGAAAAGAGCCAGGCATCACGTAGGGGCCATTGCAAAGCAGGCAAGTGCACAGCGCGGGCCTCCAGGAGCCAGCTGCAGGCGACGGAGGGTTCGGGTCCTGCACCAGAAGGCCAAGCCCGAAAGGCAGCGGGTGAAGTGGATAACAAAATTACAATAACAGTTTGGAGATAAATCTCTGAATTCTAATCGAATCTCGGAAGCTCACTCCCGCCAGTGAGATCTGGGACTCGGGCTTCGCCATGTAGCGTCGGCCAAATGCGTCTTCCCAGGCCTTCTGTAGCCAGTTCCCATCCTCCACCCCTTGGCCCCTCCCATTCAGCCACCCAGTGTGCTTGCAGATTCTGGCCCAGGGGGCCTTCTGAGTCAAGGCTGAGGCTGTACCCGTCCTCATCCTCCAGGCACCTGACACCCACCTGCCATCTCCAGTCAGGAGATCCTGCCATGCCACTGAAGCGGCCATCCTGGAACACACAGAGGCCCAGCCCCGACGGGTCCTCTCGCACCCAGTGCACGATCTGGTCCATCATCTCCACCGCTTCGCTCTGGGACAGGAGGTGAGGGAAGGCCCAGGCTGATGCTGCCTCCCATGCAGTCTGGTCCCTCACGTGCTGACCTGCAGGGTCCCCAGGACTCGGCGCCGGGGTGAGAGAACTGTGTCCTCCCACCCACTCGTAGGACACCTTCCCCTGGGCCCACTCTGGGCCTCACCCCAGGGTGCGTGCTGGGGGCTGGGGTGGATCTGGCCCACCTGCCTTGCGGGCTCCCAGTCTGGGGGTGCGGGCCGCTCCCAGGTAGTGGGGTCGGGTCTGAAAGCACAGGGGGCCCAGGGAGGAGAGAGAGGCCCACCCCCAGCCTGGGCAGGGTGTGGAGGTCTTTGGGATGTAAACCCAGCAGGACCTGAGGACGGAGAGAGGGGGATTCATTTGCTCTGTAGTTTATTAATTGAGGTAGAGCCAGCATCCACTAAGGCACAAATCCTAGGAGCCCAGCTTGGTGCACATAGGCCCCACTTGTGGTGATTTTTGGCTACATGGCTGTCTTGCTCTGGTGCTCTGTCCCGAGGGCAGGCATTATGTCATTCACTTCTGGAGCTTGGCACACAGCAGGTGCTCAATAAATGCTTGTTGAATGAAGGTCAGAAAAGGGGTGAGGGAGGAGGGAGCACAGGATTCTTCTGACTTGTCTGAAAAAATTGGGGGCCGTGTTTTTTATCATATATTTTAAAAATCATTTTTTAAAAAGATTTTATTTTTCCTTTTTCTCCCCAAATCCCCCCAGTACATAGTTGTGTATATTTAGTTGTGGGTCCTTCTAGTTGCGGCATGTGGGACGTCGCCTCAGCATGGCCTGATGAGCAGTGCCGTGTCCGTGCCCAGGATCTGAACCCGCGAAACCCTGGGCCGCTGAAGCAGGGTACGCGAACTCAACCACTTGGCCACGCGGCCAGCCCCTAAACATCTTTTAATTAAAGCAATAATATGCGCTCAGTGAGAAAAAAATTCAACCAGCCCACCATTGCTGAAACCAAGCTCATACACACATGAATCCAAGAGAAGCCCAAGTGGCCTCACCTCCGCTCACAGCGGGAAGGGCACTCCCGCCAGGGGTTTCTCTTTCCTTCTCTCTTCTTTCTTCCACTCATCACCAGCGTGATGGCCTCAGGCCAGCTGCGGTGGGCCACCTCGGATTCACATCAACGGTGCGCTTCAATGTGAGGCTAGTGGCAGCCCCAGCAGTCAGCCTTTTGAATGAAATGCATTTTAGCCCAGTATTCCGGTGATGATCTGGGCCAGTAAGCCTGGCACACTGCAGGCGCTCAGTGTCTCTTGGAGGAGCTAGTGAGGGTGGAGCTCGGTACAGCTCTGAAAGCTTCAGGCTAATGGGTTGGGGGACTGTGGGGAAGGGGAAGCTAAAATGCAGTGAGCATCAAAGCAGAAGCTCCCCTTTCCACCTGCGTGCCTGCTATGGGCTGAATGTCTGTCTCCCCGCAATTCATATGTTGAAATCCTAATCCCAAATGTGACGGTATTGGGAGGGGGGGCCTTTGGGAGGTGATGCGCTCATGAGGGTGGAGCCCCCATGAATGGAATTAGTGCCCTTAAAAAGAGACCCCAGAGAGCCACTCCCTCGCCCCTTCCATCATGGGAGAACACAGCAAAATGACAGCCATCGATGAATCAGGAAGCCGGTCCTTACTAGGCCCTGGCTCTGCTGGTACCTTGACCTTGGACTTCCTAGCTCCAGAACTGTGAGCAATACATTTCTGTTGTTTATAAGCCACCAAGTTCATGGCATTTGTGTTATAGCAGCCCGAATGGACTTCAACAATGTCAGTGGCCCCTCCTAGGTGGGCCACAACCTAGACAGAGGTGGGCTGGGGCAGACGGCTGTGGGTGGAACCTAGGCTGGCCCATGAGGTGAAGGTGGGGGACTGCGAACTCCCAGGCAATCAAAGCCTTGTGGTGGGCCTCAGAAGAGCTGCAGGGCTCCGGAAGGCAGGCGCACTAGGAGAGGGGCAGAAGGAACATTCTCAACCCCTTACTAGAGGCCCACAGGGCCCCAAGAGAAAAGCCCCAGGCTTTCCCCTGTCCCCTGGGCCCAGTATTAGCTGTCCCAATGGACCTGTGGCCTTGACTTTTGCATAACTGAAGCTTGCCAGAACACAGCTTGCACATATTTTAAGGAAAAACAGTTGGAATTCTCAGTAGCAAGCACATCACAAAATCAGCAAAGCAAACGAGTGCTTCTTTCCAAACAAGGGGCTTGCAAGCAGAGGCGGCTGGGCTGGGGGTGGGGTGGGATGGTATCACACCACCTGCCTAGATGTTGCATTTGGGGTAGGAAAATTGATAGCGTGATGAGGATGGGCCCTGGAGAAAAGATGACACAGGCCTTGCCTAGGTACCTCTAGGGACACTGGGTTGGTGGGAGGAGTCACGCTCCTTTCCAAAATGTTGCTCCCTCCTGTTGGGACACATCATGGCCCACCAGGGCCCAACCCAAGCACTCCTGGAGCCCACTCTGTGCTAGTCCTTCCAGGACTGGGCAGCTGCCTTCATGGCGGAGTCCTGTTTGCATTTGGGAGGGTCAGGATGCCAGGGGCCTGTCTTCACTACCAGCCTTTCCCGAGGCAATGGTCACTAGAGAGAGGCCAGCCACTTGCCATCAAGAGGAGTGACCTCCCCGCTCCCATCCCCACCCAGCCCAGAGAGGTGCTGGCTGATTCTCCAGTCCTAGAAGCCACCTCTGTCACACCATTCCTGGTCCCCAGGGGAAGAGCTCAGGGACCAGCCTGGTCTTCTGCTCCCACTTGGAACTCAGACTCTGGGGAGAGCCCTAGCCGGGGTTGGGGAAGGCACTTGGCTGAATGACAGGCCCCTTCTGCCAAGGGACAGCTCAAACTTCCAGGAAAACCAGCCCTTCCTCACCAGGGCGCCTCTTCTCCCTTCCAAGTGTCCAGCAGGTGGGGGCCGAGACAGCATCTGGAGCCCAGGAGGAGGCAGAACTCCAGAGTGTGGAGCAAGAAGCAAGGGAAGAGCGGATAAATCAAGCTTTGACAAAGTCAGTCGAGGAAGATCAATGCCATTTAACGTATATTTATTGAAATCTACTTGATGCAAGGCACTGTGCTGGGTCTGGCAGGGGAATCAGACACGAAGGGCCACCCTGTCTTCTCAGAGCTCACAATCTAGCGGGTGGGTGCGGGTGCGAGGCTGATTACAGTAAGCGCCATATAACAGACAAGTTAAGGAGACAGGGAGGGACTAGAAAAGAGCGCCAACAACCGAAATGTGCACTGCGGCGGGACACAGCTACTGCTCTCAGATGTGCAAATAATGTCGAGGGCCAAGTTTAAAGCGATCATTTCTACTTTTGAAAGTAACACCCAAACCGATGCAATAAGAACCACAGAAGCTGAGTACCCTGGTAAGAGGGAGCTTATCACTCCCCAGTCTGCCTGACACCCAAAATAAAGAACGGGGTGGGGGGTGACTTAACTCATTTCATGGGGCAAACACAAGGTCAGAACAGGAACAATACCCAGACAGAAAAGCATTGGTCAAACTCACAGAGACTAGAAGGCAGAGATTTTTACCCATCTTGGTGAACAGAACGCAGTACCACATTTAAACGGGTGTTTCCGAGTCAGGCAGGGCTCGCGCAGGGAGCACGGGCCGGGTAGAACCTGAGGAAAACCAGCCACGTGGTTCTTCTCAGGAAGCAGCCACAGGGTAAAACGCAATTGGCTCTTGACAGATTGCAAAAAGCAGAGACCCACTCAAGCTGGCTCAAGTCAAGGGAGTCTATGGCGGGGACACAAATGGACCCACGAGGGCAGTCACCAGAAATCCAAGAGCACAATGGAGTCAGGCCTCCCTTGGGGCGCTGGGATTGAGGCAGCTCTGGGGCACCCAGCAGGAGCCCACAGATCTTCGAGCCAGTGCTGCCCACAGGGGCACCTCCTCTAAATACTGTGTGGCTCCCTCATTCTTCCACCACCAACTAGAATCGTCTGTCTCAGTTTCCTTGTTCGCACTTCACAGATGGAGAAACTGAAAGGCCTGGCCCGTCATCTCCAGCCAGTTTTGATGACCGGGTGCTGTCCTTGAGTCAGGTGTTCAGTTTTGCTTTAATTCATGTGGCCTAGAAGGGGGTGGGGGTCACATGGCATGCAACAGGGCTAAAGCCCAGGGCAAGTGCAATGTAACACCATGTGACAAAGTTTTCCCCTGTGATCAGGTGGGGCTCATTGTGGAATTGCAAGAGTGGGCAGGACACAACTAACCAACACAGTTCATCTTCATAAGCAGCAAAAATGGTAAACAATTACTTTCCTTTGAAAATTCCAGCAAGTTCAAAACTTTAATAAAAGCAATGGAGGGTTTCTTTCAGAATATAAGAAAAAGATACATTTCTAATGAGAGCTGGCATTCTGTGTAACCCAACTGCTCATTTCCCTTGCAAAAGGACTATGTGTGATTAGAAAGAAAACAAAGTGAGGTAGCTCCGCGAACGCACAGACAGCCGCACAGCGGGAAGCTTGAGCCACATGTTGCATCTGACACAGCAGCACACTCAGAGAGTGCGAGGAAACCCACCCCCAAGTGACCAGAGGCAAAAACTGAACTTGGCGCAACTACAGGACACAAGCGAAAGCCACAGACTGCTTGCGTTGAGAGAGCACGGACTTCACCTGCAAACACAGTGCCGGAAAGGACACGGTCTGTAGTGTTAACTCTAGGAGAGGGTTTGTTTGAGAGGAAATTATAGAGTCGAGAATGGAAAAAAGGAAAGGAGGGTGTGACAGGATGCCGAGACACTGGGTCCTGGTGGGGAGAAATGGAGCAGTGACGACGGCGACACAAAGTTCCGAGTCAACACTGTATCTGGATCCTTCATACAACCTGACAAACGACTAGTGAACGGGCAAGAAATGGCAGAGTACTTCCAGGTAAAGGTGCCAGACTTGCCCTCCGTGGATGTCAACATTCCTTACCAAATGACAGTTGCATCAAACACGTCACAACAGCTTGAAAAGAGAAAACTGGTCCGAGGAGGAAGTAGTGATTTCAGACCACAGATTCACAGCTACCGAGAGAGCTGAAGCCCACAGAGCAAAAGGAACTGCTATGTAACGAGCGCTGTTGGCTTCTCTCCAGCCTGGGCGTCAGGATGGAGACGTCACAGAGAGCCACTGGCGTGGCCTGGGGGCCATTCCAGAGTACCTTCTGGCTAAGGCCACAGGGGTCACTGTGGGACCCTGCTCCCCAGGATGGGGGCCTAAGAAGCTCTTCCAGATGTGCCCACTGACGAGTTCCACCTCAGCCTCAGTGGGCCCATCAGAAGGGCACACATCCTCTCCAGGTTCTCTAGTGTCCCCCCAGGCACAGCTGCCGGGATGTCACACCACAGCCCCAGCGTGGCCGGCTTCTACCTTCAGACTCTGCAGGCCACTGGATGGGCCAGGTTCCTGGCCAGCCTTTGCTGCTGGTCCTCCTGGGGGAGGCTGCCAGAAGTGATAGCCCAGCCCCAGGAGGACCAGCTTCTATTTCTATGCCACTTGGGCCACAGAAGGGCATCGTGGCCCTCCAAACCCTTGTTTTATTGCCTCTCTTGGGCACGGCTGCTGCAAGGCCTGGTGTGGCCAGCTTCTATCACCATGACACACAGGCCATCAGAGGGGCATGGGTCTTCTCTAAGCCTTCGCTCTGCCGCCCCTCTTAGGTATGGATGCAGGAAGTGATATTAGAACACGTGGGTGGATTTCCCCCTAGTTGCCAAAAGCAGAAGCCACCAAACTGACCTCCTTCCAGTCCCAGATTCACTTGCTAGGAGGAGGATGTGATCCACGCGACAGCGCCAGCCAGGTGAGTCTTCCTGTGCTTGAGGGGACGGCTCCTGGGTGGATCTGCTGCTCAGGCACTGAATCCACGCCGGGCATGGCCAAGGCTCCCACGAGTTCAAAGCATGGCTGGCCTTCCAAGACAGAGTTTGGACCACCCCATTGATCTAGGTGAGGCCCAGCCCCGCTGCTGATGGCTAGGGCCTATACTGAGGAACAGTCAGAGTGTTCTGGCCAATCTGCGATGGACATTTCTCTCGTGTGCGTGAGAGGCCAGGCTGGATAGTCAAGGACTGCCCACAGACATGCACGGAGTCTGCATCTTGGATGAGGAGCGAGCCTGCTTCTCCGGCCCATCCCCATCCAGCCTGCCCACCTGGTGCGTCCACCTTCTGGTGGGGCAGGGCTTTCAACTTTTCATTTGTAATTAAAATTCCAGAAGAAAATGTCATCATATCTAACTACTGCAGCAACGACACTTACGACTCAACGGACAACAATGAGGGCTTGGATACGTAAAAATTAAACACTTGTGCAACAAAAATGTAATAAAACTGCTACAAAGAGTAAAGCAATAAAATTGGAAAAGAGACCATCACAATCGATACGGAAAGAACCGCTGTGTAAAGTCAATATATCCAAAGGCAACTTGACAACTGGTCAAAGGAGATGAACGTACGATTTGCATGCAAGGAAACGGAAACAGTACTTCAGTCATCGCATGAGAGAACAAAAGATGAGACTAGGAGTCCGCAGGTCTGGGTCCATCCCCACTTCTGGTACTAACGAGCCATGGAATGACAGCAATAACTAAGACGATGACAGCAGATGACCTTCAGTGAGTGTGTACCTCCACGCCAGGCGCCACGGTCCAGTGCTCACAGTAACCGTAGGAGGTAGTCCTGTGATCACCCCATCACACAGAGCCGAGAACGGAGGGTTGGAGAAGTACCATCTAGGCCCCATATGAGGAAAGGCTATGGTTCTGGAAAAGGAGGCGCCACCTTACACTTGAGTCCTTGAAATGCCTGTTATTATGGGGATGCTCTCGCCACTACGGTATTTTGAACAACATAGTGCCACTTGAGGACAAGACCCATTCGCCTGAAACAAACCCCAATCGAAGCTAGTTTTGGATACACATGGGAGTCACCAGATTGAATTGGTTTAAGAAAAAAAGGCGCAAAAGTAATTTAACCCAGATTCGGTGCTTATTCCTAGGAATATGACCTCACAATGACAAATTTTAGATGTTTAACAAAAGTCTTTTAAAGGTGATTTAAAAAAGCAACACGTTAAGGGGTTATGTTGTAGAGCTACGGGACAAATTAAAAACAACCACAATCGGCCTAACGTTACATGAACATGTACTTACAGCTTGGGAGGAAACTTCTAGCGAGAGTTTTGTGCAGGGACTGTCACAGTGCTACATGGCACACAGCTCAGATGGATGGAAGCCAGTGGATGTGCTCTGAAACGGTCTGATGACTCAAAAGGGGCTCCGGGGTTGGTGAAGGTGGTGAGGCCAGAAATGAACGTGAGGAGTTAGAATAAAATGATCTCATGGCACAGAGCAAAGGAAAAAAGGAGTATTTTCTAAATTAATATATTATTCTATATAATATGTGATTTACAATATGTATGTATAACTAAATTAATAAATTAAATATTATAAGACATTTGAGTATTCTATTTACATGCCTAAAAATTCATAAATTCAAGTAGGCCTACAAACTCTGGGGTGAGCTTCTCTTCGGGAGAGTGGCGATCACTTTCTATTGACGCCATCATTGAATAGCTCTGTGTCTTAGTTTCCCTGAGGGGGGAGCTTGGAGGAGGGGACCAATGAGCCCCCTCGCCACCCTCACATCTGGTTTCTCTTCTCTAATTCTCAGATTCAAGGCCTGTGGATTTAAATACCTTGAAGGTACTTTATGCTAGTTAAACTGGCCAAAATAAATTAAAATGGCAAAAGCTACTCTTGATAGGCAAAATGGGAAACACGTACACTTATAAATTGCTGGTGGCAGTATAAATTGGTTTCAATCTTTCTGACAATAAAATATGTAAGTGCTACAAAACTGTTCACCTCCTTGGGCTCTGCCATCCCCCTCTAGGGACGCGGGTCCCCCGCGGGAACCCGCTGACAGCTGAGGGCCTGCAGGCCCCATCTACTCCTGGTGGGTGGGCTGGTGCTTCTGCAGCGCCGACCGCCTCTTGAACACACGGCCACACTCACTGCACTCGCAGCGTCTTGCTCCACTGTGGGTCCTCCGATGGCGACTCAGGCCGGAGCTCCTCCGGAAGGCCTTCCCGCATTTGTCACACTCATAGGGTTTCAGTCCGCTGTGGATGCGCCGGTGTTTAATCAGGTCGGAGGGCCCCCGGAAGGCCTTGCCGCAGTCGCCACAGGCGTAGGGCCGCTCCCCGGTGTGGATGCGCTGGTGCTCCAGGAGGCTGGAGCTCTGCCGGAAGGCCTTCCCGCACTGGCCGCACTCATAGGGCTTCTCGCCTGTGTGGATGCGCCGATGCTTGGTCAGCTCCGAGCTCCTCCGGAAGAGCTTGCCACAGTGGGGACACCCGTAGGGCTTGGCCCCGCTGTGGATGCGCTGGTGCTCAGCCAGGCCGTTGACCCCTCGGAAGGACTTGCCACAGTCGTCGCAGTCGAAGGGCAGGTGGCCAGTGTGCATTCGCTGGTGCTTGAGAAGCTCCTGGCGATCCAGGAAATCCCTGCTACATGCCTTGCAGGCAAAGGGCTTTTCCGAAGTGTGAAGCTTCTGATGTCGAAAGAGGTGAGTGTTCACTTTGAAGGACCGCCCACACTCCTCACAGTCAAAGGGCTTCTCCCGGCTGTGGACGCGCAGATGCTGACTGAGGCCTGCGTTCTTCTTAAACCTTTTCCCACATTCCTCACACTCAAAGGGCTTTGCCTCCCTCTCCATTTGCTCCCTCTTCTCCACGGCATCATCAAGGGCCCAACTTGGGCCAGGCCGCGGCTCTGCAGCCACGTGGCTCTTGCGGTGCTCGTTGAAGTCAGAGACGCCCCGGAAGACCGTCCCGCAATCGCCGCACTCCCAGCCCTTCTCCTCACTGTGAATTCTCTGGTGCTGCACCAGGAGGACCTTAAGCCGAAAGGTGTCTCCACACTCTTTACACGCAAAGTGATGTTCTACAGGCAGATTCTGGGGGCTCCCCCCGCTCCCCTCAGACTCCCCATTCTGTTTGACCTCAGGGCTGGGCTCACTGGTGCTCGGGGAGCTTGTAGACGCCATCTCCTGTGGCTGGGCTTCTTCACCCATGGTCCGACGCTGGGTCACTGACACGCTTTCTGAAATGAGAACCACAAGACACTGCAGTCTTCAGAGGAGGACGGAAGGAGCTTACTCTCCTTTGTCAAGAATCGCTTTCCTCCTGAGACAGCTGCTGAGCACTGGGCCTGGAGGCCACCGGGGCAGGATGGCTGGTGCTCACCCAACCAGAAGCCAGGACCACAGAGGGAAGGGCCAGAAGGGCCTGACTGCTGGACGCTCCCTACCAAAGTGGCCCTGAAAAGGCCTCCCCTTCTGTGGTTAAGGAGCAGCCACATTCAGTCCCCAAAGCCTGAGCTAGGCCTCCCCCACGATTTCCTCACATTTCTTTTTCACTCACCAGAAAGCTTAGCTCGATCCACGTTATGGGATGGGATTGATACCAACAGCAGGCAAGAGACCAAGGCAGGATTCAAAACAGGAACTCCTGCTCATGGAAAAGGAGACAGGTTACGGCAGCAGCCAAAGATGACATGAGAACAGGGCAGGAACAGGCTGACACCTTCCAAGGGGAAACCCTTTCAATCCTCAAAGGCTGGCTTGGCCGTGACCATAGGCAAGTCAACCATCCACTTCAAATGCCTTTCCTAAGGGCCAGCTCCTTCCAGGGGCTGGACGAGGCCAGCTCTGGGCCCACCCGGGTGGAGTGCCAGGTGGTCGTCCTGAGGAGCCGATCCTCCCTTTCTCCTGACCCACCCACCTCAGGGCCTGCACGGTGAACTTCGTGCTCTTCCACAATTCCCAAACCTGACCCCCAGCAGTCTCTCCTCCTAAGAACCCTCCCGACCTCACACGTGCAACCCAGTAAAAGACTGAGGGGCTTCTTTCCATGCCATTAGGAGTTGAAGGGAGCCTTGCCACTTTGAGGTGTTGGCTGGGGCAGACGCTTTGCATTTTCTTACAGCCCATCCCCAGGGGGCACAAGCCCCTGGAAGGTGAGCTTGTGTAGGGCCACACCAGCTGCCCCTCATCCCACTCCCAGCTGTGTAGTACCATGAAGCTGCAGGCAAAGCTGGTGGAAGGGCTAGGGGCATCCTTACCCACGGAGGTCACGTTCCCGTAATATGCCAGTGTCCTTTGCTCAAAGTCCAGCCTTAACCACTCCCTTTTTGTGAGGTACTGTGCCACACTGCCAAACATCACCAAATCCTGAAAGAATTCCCAGGGATAATCAGTCCTTCCACCTATTCTAGAATGAGAAAGGGGCAGTGCCAATAACCCCAGGGACAAGAGGTGAGAGTCTGGAGTGGGTGTGTGTTGCTAACATGGAGATCTAACCACAAGCCTCAAGAAGTCCTTGAAAGAGAACCTGATCAAGCACCAGGAGACCTGGGCCATGGTCCTGGCCTTCCACTGTCTTCCCAAGGGACCTCAGTTCAATCACTTTCCTGGATTGAAACTCAGCTCCCCCACTGGTATGATGGGAATTACAAGCCAAGTGGACATCCATTCCTTGGCAGACTCTGGGGAGAGAAGCAGAGGAAGGGAGGAAAGGCAGCAGCTGGGGTTCAGGCCCTGCCGTGTGTCATGCTAGGGCAAGAGGCAGAGGCTGAGGCCTGAATTAGGGAGCAGTGACAGATTCCCAAACCAGGCAGAGGGAAGCACAGCTCACCTGGGCCTCGAGCATCTCAAGAGGGCCTGCCAGCACCTGGTTTCCTGGGGCTCCATCCTGGGGAAGGGCAAGACCCTGGGGGGCAGGCGGAGCTAAGGAAAGTGAAAAGAGCAGTGAGTGACAGCAGCCCTGTCTCTGGGTCCCGTGGGATGAGACTGGTGATTTTCTTTTCTGAGGTTTTAAATCTTGTTGAATCTTCTCTTGCATAGCAGCTAAGTGACAAGACAGAGCATGGGGACGTCTAAGAAAAAATATCCTAAACAGTGGAGAAAGTGGGCTGGCAAAGAATTAATACAGGCAGGCTAGAGGGAGCCCAGACAAGACAAATGAATGTTAGCCCAGGCACAGCTTGGAGAAGACAGCCAGACTGAGAGCCAACGGTGGGGAGACCGGCTCTCAGAGACAGGCTGGCCACAGCCCTCCTAGCAAGCCTGCCTCAAAGTGGTCAATGCTCACACTGCAGAAGGAAATGTCCCCAAACGAATATCAGAAGAAACTAGGAAGTGAGAGATCCTTTCAAACTTTGTAGGAGCAACAAAAAAACAGACTGGGCCACTGGAGGGAAGAAGGGCAACAAAGAGCAGGAGCCGGGGCTTTCTGATAAGCAGCAAGGCCCTTTAAAGGCCACACCCCACCCCACTGAAACAATTTGCCAGGTGACAGTAAGACTGCTACAAACAAGAACATTTCTGTTACATATTTGACAAAATGAAAAGTTGAATAAAACAGCTGGAAAAAGAAGCCTCAAAAGAAGAAAAAAAAGATCATCAGGGGCCGGCCTAGGGGCAAAGCGCTTAAGTTTGCACGCTTCGCTTCGACAGCCTGGGGTTCACCAGTTTGGATCCTGGGCGCGGACCTACGCAGCACTCATCAAGCCATGCTGTGGCGGCGTCCCACATAGATGAACTAGAAGGACCCACAACTAGGATATATAACTATGTACTGCGGCTTTGTGGAGGAAAAAAAAGAGATCTTCAAACACCAAGTTGCGAAATAAAAGATCTGAACAATATATACAAGTTACCGTTTCCTTCCAGATTGCAGAAAATGTGAAATATCAGAAGATCCTGCCACAGACACGTGTGCATCATAGGCCTCCCACTTCAGTGAGTTCAAAGAAACAGGAACACAGTTTCTGCTCTGATGTCAGGTCAATTCAATTCAATTCATAATTAAATGAAAAGAAAGCATTTTACACGAGCTCGAGGAGTACAAAACCCAGATACTCTAGAAAGACTTTTACATAAATTTAGATGTTACGTTAAAAGGGATGGATAGAGACTTCTACTTCCGGCCATGATGGAGTAACAAGGAGCAGATTTAATGTCCTGCCATAAACAAGTAGGAAAATGGACAAAATCGATGTGACACAGTTTTCAGACAGCGGACAGCAGGCAGTGCAGGATCATGATCTCCAAGAGAAGAGAAACAAATGAAGTGAGCCTTATCATCGCCTCAGCTCTCTGCCCGCAGGCAATTTCCAGATTGAGAGTGTAGGGAAGGGAGACCCAAACAGAGCTTGGTGCCTTCATCAAGACACAGACCAGCGCTCAGGGCAGCTGAGGCAGCTGCAAGTTGCAGAGCAGAGTTCCAGAAAGGAGGGAGCTATGCAGAAAGAAGAGCTCTAAATAAAAACCTACCTCAGGCTTTCTTTGAGTCTTTCCTGACCATTAAGTTGTGTGTGCATCGAGTGAAACTCCCAAAACCTGGTAAAAGAACAACCAGAATGCTGAAAGCTGAACAATTCCCAGGACACACAAAAGTAGGGAGATGGTAAGGGTCCAAACAAGCAGAGTACAGAGTCCTCAGTGATCAGCTGGGGCATTCAGCAGAGAAGCAGTGGGGCCATGCCTTCATAGTACGACTGATCTATCCCTGGAACCACGGCGGCCCTGGACCTGCTCTAGAAAAGCTTAAAAATAGGTCTCAAAGGGATGAAATTGTTCCACGCATAACTACCTCCAAAAAACAAAATCCAACACTTTTCAAAGTGAAACAACAAAATCTGGACACTCAACAACATAATCTCTACAATGTCCAACACCCAATAAAAAATTATTAAAATGCCAAGCAGCAGAAAAATATGACAAGGAAAATAATCTCAATAGAAACACTCAGAAATGATCAGATAGACCTCACAGACAAGGATAACAGCTAGTTTAACTATGTATAAGTATTTTAAAAAAATCAGGAACGTAATGAGAAAATGGACAATATAAACAAGAACCAAATGGGACTTTTAGAGGCGAAATTATAATATTTAAAATGAAAGTTTCACTGGATGTGATTAGACACTGCCAAAAAAACGGGTTGGAAAACTTGAAGACGTAGCTACAGAAACTATCCCAAATGAAGCTTAGAAAGAAAAAAAAAATTAAAAACACATTCTTAGTAACCTGAGAATGATAGAAAATGGTCTAACACACAGGTAACTGGAATCTGAGAAGATGAGGAAAAGGGGGGGAGGATAAAAATATAGTTGGAGAAATAATGGCTGAAAATGTTTTTTCTAAATTTTGATGAAAACTAGATGCAAGACACAAACAGCAAGAAACAAAAAACAAAACCAAAAACCCACACATATACACCAAGACACATCATAATCAAACTGCTGAAAACCAATGATAAAGAGAAAATCTTAAAGCAGCCAGAGGGGGGAAAATGTTATATACAGAGGAGCAAAGATAAGAATAACTGCTGACTTCTTATCAGAAAATGTCAAGTCAGAAAACAAGTGAAGCACATTTTTAAAGTGCTAAAGGAAAAAAAACACTGTCAACCTAGAATTTTACATTCAGGGAAAATATCCTTAAAAAATGAACGCAAAATAAAAACTTTTTCAGAAAAACAAAAGCTGAGAGATTTGCCACCAGCAGACCTGTACTACAAGATATATTAAAGAAAGTTCTTCAGGTGAAGGAAAATGATACCAGATGGAAACCTGGATCCACACAAAGGAATGAGGAACACCAGGAATGTAAATATGTGGGGAACATAAAACGTTTTTACCTCCTTCATTTTTAAATTTTTAAAAAGTAACATTCAAAGTAAAAATAATAATAAGGTAGTGTGGGGTTTAGAACATATGTAGAAGTAAAACATGATTGGGTATTTCAGGAAGCCCTCCAAGACTGAGGCAATGCTAATAAGCCAGTAGTGGAGATAAAACACAATTCTAAAAAATAATTCAAAAGAAGAAAGGTAAAGAAACAAAGGAAAAAGAAAAGATGGGATAAGTAGAAACAAACAGAAGATGGCAAATTTAAAATCCAACCAAATGGGTAATTAAGTTAAATGGAAATGGACTAAACACTCTGATTAAAAGGCAGCGATTATCAGACTGCATTAAAAAAGAGACTCAACCATATGCTATCTACAAGAAACTTTATAAAGACTTTAAATGTAAAGACATAGATAGGATAAAAGTAAAAGGATGGAAAACAATATACTTTAACCAACAGAAAGGGTCTAAATAATCCAAATGTCATAGAAACAAGAGGGAGAGGGTGAGTGACGAATATGACTCAGAGCTCTGGGGACCTTACTAGGGAGTCCTAGAACTCAGAGCAAGAAGAAAACTGAAGAGCTTATGTACAAAATCAACAGGTTGTAGGAAACAAGGGGGGAAAAAAAAGAAAAATAAATAAATAAGTGAAAAAAAAATCAACAGGTGGCCAAGGCAGCAGATTACAAAAATTTGAATTCTTCTTAGAAGATGCAGACAGACAGTAAGTTTATTAAAATATCCAAAGAGGGTAGAGGAAGGGGAGAGAAGAGCTAAGTATATATTTGCATTTTAGGTAAAAAAGAAAGAAACTGAGTGATCCATAGCTAAAATGAGCACACCCGTACTGCAATGTGCACCACACTGGGCTTGAGCCCAGGTCTAGAAAGGTCTTCTACCATTTCCACAACGTGCGAATTTTTAGTAACAAAGCTGCATTTCTTTGGTAATAGAAAAGAATAACAATTTAAGAAGATTTGGGTAGACTTTGGATAAGAAAGATGCTCAGTATGCGAGAGGACAGGGCTGAGGCCAAGGAGGCAATGGGGAACGGCCCTTAAAGCTGGGTGACACCCTGAGGTGCTCACATGGGCAAGGCAGGTACAGGGGAGAAGGGCTGGCAGGAATGTGTGGGCAGTCCCAGAAAGCTTGGAAGCAGGACCATGGGGTTGTGACTTCCTGGGCTCATCCTCCCAAGCTATCAGCGCCATGGACAGGTGTGAGCAGAAGGCCTCCTTTGATCCCAAGGTCCATGGAAGCTCCCTTCCCATCTTTAATAGGCGTTTCCTATTAAACAACATAGGTGTTTCCCTGGTGTGCGAACGAAGTCTTCAGGTGCCCAGCAGGCAAGTCCTTTGTGTCCCACTGTCATCTGGGCAGGGCCCCCTCTGAGCGGTTGGATTCTTCCTGGTATGCATTTGATGTCTGGTTTGACTTGGGCTTCCAATACAAAATGAACTGGTCACAGATTACTTATACAATTCATTTTTAAAAATTCACTTCCAATTGACATTGAGCTTTTGCTGCCAAGTGGAATGGAGAGGAGAGCATCTCACAGTGACCTTCTGAGAAAGAGAGCCTGTTACAAACCTCATCTCACTGCCCTCAGGCCAGAGACTTAAGGCCTTTCCCCCCACAAGGCTCTGGCCCAACCCACCAGGCCCATATCCTGCACCTCAGTCATTCGTTCCAGACACTCGGGCCTCCATTCTGTTCTAGATATACCCCTCAGGGCCTCTGAATCTGCCACAGGGGGCTCCTTCTAAGAACTCAGGCCTCACTGAAATGTCACCTCTCAACATCTTCACTCTGCAGCCCCATCAGGGTTTACTCATGACACCTTTCACTACCTAAAAATTATCCTCTGACATTGCTTGCTTTTACCTGACTCTCCCCCAGAGAAATGTCACCTCCCACAGGGCAGGGGTTTTCTCTTTCTTGGTGAGCCCCGAATCCCCAGCCTCTGCAGCAGCTCCTGGCACTGAGCAGGCACATGATAAAATGTGGGGGAGGGGCGTGTTAAATGGAGCATCTACTACGTGTTGGCACCGAGCCTCTCCCTCCACACAATTACATTTAATTATTACAACCTTTAGTTATTACCACCTCCATTTCATGGTGAAGGAAGTCACGGATCTCAGAGGTTAAGTAACTTGCCTAAAGTCCAGCTCCCAAGATTTGAGACTTCTGAATCAGACCAGAGAAGAGAGAAATCAAATGCAACGCTCTAACACCAGGCCACAGCCACAGGCGAGGCACTTATCAGTGTCCTTGCAGCCTAATGGTACACACAGGTTTTGGGAACTGGCTTTAAATCATCCTATTAACAGGCCATCACAGACACTCACTGTGCAACAGATACACAAATCATTCTCTTTCTCTCACACTCACACACACTTCTTCCAAGCCACCCACGTTTAATTGAGCAAACCCTCGTGAAGCGTTCCATTTAATTGAGCAGATCCTACCGAAGTGCTTTTACTTAACCGGTATGATTAACTGTTAAAATCCTGGAGCCGCAAACCCCAAGTGGATTGTTAATTCTCCCTTCCTGTGCAGCAACAGGAGTGGCCCTTCCTGTACCAGACTTGCCCAGGGGCCTTAACCTGACTGCACTTCAGATCACTGTCCACAGTAACAGCCCAAGGACACACAGAGATCATTTAGAAGGTGCTCAGAAAAGTGGGGGTGGGGGGGGGCAGCGAGTCCCGCTTTCACAAAAGGAAGCTAAACTCTGCATAACCGACCAAGTGTATCAGGTAAAAGCTTTAGGAGAGGCAAAGGAAGATCATTTAAAAAGATAGTACCCATTAACTCTCACTGCAGTTAAAAATAAAATGATCATCAGTCCTGGAGAAAATCTCATCATTCAGAAGCTATGTTGCACAACTGCTTGACTTTAAAATGCTCAAAGTAATCTGAAAAAGAAGCTGGACGCTGTGAGAAAAGTGACAAATACAGGTGTCCACTACCTTCCAAAAGTAGACCTTTGGAGATCAAGGTCAAAGCAATCCCAGGCAGAATATGAAAATCATCGTCGTGCACCCGATGGATACAGAGGGTGATGCTGCCCTTGAATACAAGGCACTTCCGCTCACCGTGGAAAAGCACGCCCCAAATCTCCTAAGATGCACGCCTATCCCCACCAGCGAAATGGAAGTTCCGACAAAGACTCTGGGAAAACCAATCTCCGTCTCTTCATATAAACACTGTTATCTTCCTTCTTAAAGTGGGATCTGAAGTGTAGTCTAACGACTATCCGCTCCCAGAGTGAAAGCCCTAGCAAGGTTACTGCAGATTCCGCCCTGGACCTAGCCAAGTGCCACGAACACTGCAAGTGCCTTATGAACACAGGGGACTCAGGTCAATGCTAACCTACCGCCTGACGATCTGAACAATCATGTTTTCTAAAACATGAGAGCTCATGTGAGTGAACACATGTTCCTGATATGTGCTTTACACGGCAATGTAAATTTTTTTTTGCTGAGGAAGATTCGCCCTGAGCTAATATCCGCCGCCAATCTTCCTCTTTGTTTTTGCTTGAGGAAGATTAGCCCTGAGCTAACATCTGCACCTATCTTCCTCTACATTTTTTGCATGTGGGACACCTCCACAGCATGGCTGATGAGTGGTGTAGGTCTGTGCCCAGGATCTGAACGCGCGAACCCAGGCCGCCGAAGTGGAGCACACAGAACTTTAACCACTGGGCCATAGGGCCGGGCCCGACGGCCATGTAAATTTTAGACAACTTATTTAAATTGAATTTTCCATATGGAATCAAACATTAAGAGAATCAAAATAATCATTCCACTTTGACCTGAAAGATCAGAAATTAAGAGTTGAATTTAATGGAGACAAAAACAACCCATGTCACAAAAAGTAGTGAATAATTAGGTGCTGTCTGGTTGCCTTTGAGCTCTAGACTCCTCCTCAGGCTGTCTGGCTACTAGTAAAGATAGCTTCCAAGCCTAAAATATCAGGATTCCACCGATTCCATGGCACAAACAACCAAGCAACATCCTCAGCAGATACGGTCCTTCTCTGGGCAGTGGGAGCAAGGGAGAGGCAGCAAGGCAACCCAAACTAGATCTATTTGGCAGCTTCCAGAAACTTCTAAGGGATATCAGAAACACCTGGACTCCCTGGAGTATCAAAATAAAGTCCCGTAGCAGAATGTCCTCAGGCCCCAGAAGACAACAGGTGGCTCCTGGAGTTGTTTGATTCTGGGCCAGAGCAAAACTTCCCCAGAGGGTGTCTTTATAGTCACACAAGAGACCTCACTCTTCAGCATCTACTCACATGGGTGCCTTCAGCCCTCTCTCCCATCCAAATGACCACCTGGATTCCCAATTCTCCTTGCTGGATATCAGTTCTCCTTTGATTCATGTCGCTTAGATTGAGAGAACCATCTCTGGGCAAAGATGTTTCAGTGACACTGGCATATATGAAAATATGAGTGCTTTCAGAACGGAAACAATACTTCTCATTGTCTACATCCTCACCCATGGGGCCTTCTAACAGCATGGCCAGCTTTAAGGCCAGCAGACATGGTCTGTAAACACCCAGACTTACCCAAAAGAGACACACAGTGATGGCTCATCGTGTCTCAGAACAATTCTGAGTGATTAGTCAGGCAGGTAAGGTCCCACCTGTTGGACTAAAATAATTCAGGGGGACAGAAGCAGGCTTGGGGGCGCCGTCTGGGAACAGGTCTTATTGGGTCGTGAGTGCTCGACCAAAGGACAGGCTGTGAGACGGAACACAAATTGTCACGATCCCGACCCACTGCAGCCAGGCAAGTCTGGGATGCTGAGCTGAGCCCCTGGGCTGGAGCTGGGCCTGGCCTTCATGGGCTCTCAACCTGTCTGGCCACTCTGTACTGTGCCAATGTGCTGCTACTAGAAGTGGTAGAATCCTAAAGGGCCAAAAGAGAGAGTGTTTCACCAGCGAAGCCTGTTTCTCTAGGCGGTTAGTATCTGCGAGCGTCTTTTTCTGTATGCGTGGGTGGGAGGCATCTGTCTCATCTTCCCCAGTTTCCCTCTCTCACTCTGCCTGGGCACCTGTCCCTCTCAGTTTAGGTTTCCATTTTCTTTTCCTTCTATAAAAAGCCAGAAGGTAGACCAGAAGGGGATTTTGTAGTGTTTGTTGTATTTAATTGAGGAAAGGTTTATGTTCCCATTTCCCCAAGAAGACGCATGGCATCTTACTAAAAATCAAAACAAATTGTAAGTATAGCTTCGTTTAGGTTACACTGCCCTGGATTTGAAAGATTCTAAATGGGGGTAGGAGATGCTGTGCAAATTTCAAGGGGCCCTGGGCCATTTGGGGAGCCCAGGGAGGTAAGGGTCAGGGCTGGATCGGTGGATTAGAATGCTGGCCTGGGGTCTGCTAAGAGCTCAAAGGGCAGAGTAGCAGGGGTGAGTGGGGCCACGGAGTTGCATTTTCAACCAGCACTCAGGCAACTGGACTGTGGAGCTGTGCCTGTCTAGAATCTGGAGGCTTCCTTACCTCCAGTGCTCAGCAGACAGGATTCCAGCCCATGAGCCTCCTGAATGGATCCTGCTCTCTGTGCCGTCAGACTCCTGGGAAGAGAATTTACACTTTCCAGTGATTCTCCAAGGGGTCTCTCACTTGAACACATTTTTGGGGAACGGACTGTGCTGTACCAGGCACTGTGGAACCTGCTTCTACTTAAAGGCTCAATGGGGGAGGGAGGATGGGGGATGGGGCCAGCAGCATTAGTACCCAGAGGGGGTGCTGTTCTAGCAATCCCATCTGAAAACCTTTGGTAAAAGAAAAATGTCGGGTCTGAGGTTGAAGAGGAAATATTTCACTGACCAAGGAGACTGAAGGGGGCTGGCGGCCGGGCTAGGCCAACGCTGGCTGGAGGGTGTCAGTTGGAACGGGGTGGGACCTCCGGGAAGAGGGCCAGGACTGGGGGGGGGGGTGTCTGAAAGGGACCATGGGCTTAGGGCGGTAGGCGACCGTGTGGGGGGAGGATGGAAAAAGACATGTAATTAATCACCCAAATATAGACTAGAGGAGGCAGCAAAGGAGTTTTTTGGGGGGGGGGTACTGGAGCTGGAGATGGTGGCCCCCAGACGAGTGACAGAAAAAGCCCTGTTCAGACGGAGAGACTTGAGCTGGTCTTCACCCAGCAAGGGCTGCCCCCTCCCCCTCCCTCACAGATCTTGGGCACTAGGCTACCCCGCCACCCTCCCCGCCAAGCTGAGGCTCGACTCCCACCCAAAAGGAAAGGAGGGACTCCACCAGCAGGAACCGTCTCCAGCTCACCCACCCGGCGCCCCTGACTGCGGCTCAGCCCCTCCCCAAGACAGACAAACCCTTTAACCCCTCAGCCAACGCCCTCTCCCCCTCGGCCTCCATTGCGCTTGGGGCGGGGGTCCCCTCCTCCACATACTGACCGGTTCCCACCCTCTAGCGTTCCCCAGAAAGCAGCGTAGGCCTCCGCACATTCACGATTCCCGCCCCTGACCGCCGCCCCCCGCCTGCCGAGGGAAGGCCTTAGGGCCTCCTAGTACCAGCCATCCAGGATCCGTCCCCCTCTCCTGCTGGCCCCTGGGCCGAGCAGCTTCCGCGGGCCCTCCCCACCCCCAACAAGGCTTGGACGCCCTCTCACCGCACTCACGGGAACACTCACTCCAGCCTCACACACTCTCCTGGGCCGCCCCCTGCAGATCCTCTCGTGGCCCAAACGATCACCCTGGCCCCACACATTCACCTGCGACCCGAGCACTGTCCCGGGCTCCCAGCACATCCTCTCGTGGCTCAAACGATCACCTCGGCCCCACACACCCTCCCGCGCCCAGTGCGCATCCTCCCGTGGCCCGCACGCTCACCCCGGCCCGGCGGCGGCTGACGCCCGGCCCTCGGCTGGCGTGGCCCAGGCAGGCCCGGCGTGGCAGGAAGCGCCACGGAGCCGCCAGCGCCCGGCTGAGCCCAGCAGCCCCGCGGCGCGTTTCCGGAGCCGCGGGCGCCGCCGAGGGTAGTTGGGGAGCGAGGCCCCGCCCCGGCCCCGGCCCCGCCCGGCCCCTCGGCTCCGATTGGCTCGGAGAGGGGGCAGGGCGGGAAGGGGGCGGGACTGAGATCGGGGGAGGGTCGGACCAGACTGCCCGGGAACGTAGCGCACCAGCCAAACGCCTGGTTGGAGGGGGGAGGAGTGGAATGAATGTACTAATGAATGAACGAGCGAATGAACCGACCAACCCACGAAGGAGGGAACGAAGGAATGGAAGGGACTCCTCCCCCTTGGGCTCCTTCTGGACTGGGGTGAAGGGAGAGGGAAGCAGAGCGAAGCCAGCCCCCACTGGAGGGGGTCAAAGCGCCTCACTGAGTCACCAAAGGTGTTGTGAGCCCTCGCTGTGCCAGGCACTGAGAATACAGCTATGAGCAAAACAGGCCGCATCCCTGCCCTCAGGGGGCGCGCCTTTGGCGCCCAAGAGCTCCTGTGAGTGTGCGTGTGTGTGTGTGTGTGTGTGTGCGCGCGCGCGCTCGCTCGTGCGGGGGGTGGGGGTGGAGGGGAAACGCACTTGAGTTAATTTCAAAATAGCAGGTCATACTATGAGGGAAAAAAGAACAGGATTCTTGGATCGGGGGTGCTGCAAGTAGCGACAGCCAGTTCCAGATGAATTTGCTGCCAGTCAACACAAATCTAGGAAGCTGCTGCCGCCCTGCAATGTGCTAAACCCTCGATGCTTCCCTGAAGGTTCCTGTTTTGTAAGGAAGACGGTAGTAAACAAGGATCAACATACAACCATAAGAGTGATAAGTACTGAAGAACAGGAATTAGGGTGATGTTTGGGAGCGAGGGGTGGGGGACTTCAGTGAGGCTCCAGTTGAGATGAGACTTGAATGACAAAAAAAGACTCAGCCATATGAAGATTGTTGAAGACAGGAAGAGAATTCCCAGGCAAAGAGAACAGCAAGTGCAAAGGCCCTGTGACAGGAACAGATTGGGCATATTCTAGGATCAAAAGGAAAATCTTACTGCTGGAGTGCAGTAAAGCAAGGGAAAAAAGGGCCCTGCTGCGGGGGGGGGGGGGGGGGGGGCAGGCTCTGGAAGTGAGTTTGAAGGACGTGGTCTGTTTTCATTGTTTATTGATAAGCTTTTAATGTTTTATTAGTGATAATGATTATAACCAACTTCTTAAATATTCTTGTAACAATTTTATCCCGTAGATGCTAACATCTCTTTTTCTTATTTTCCCTCCACATTTTATTGCAACATACAGATCAGTTGACAGATTTGTACCAATCACCACTGCTCTATAATTAGCATTATGCTATACTTGCTTGATCGCAGGTCATCCTTATTTCACAGATCCATTTCAAAGTAAGTTGCAGACATCAGTGCACTTCACCCCTAAATACTTCAGCACGCATTAGCTAGAGATCAATACCTGTTTACTGTTCTTTTTGTTTTTTTGGAGATAAAATTTACATACAATGAAACACACAGATCTCAAGTGTCCCATGCAGTCAGTTCTGACAAATGCATACTCAAGATATATAGAACACTATCAACACCCCAGAAATTTCCCTTGTGCCCATTCCCACTCAGTCCCCACCACAATCCCACACAGAGGCAACCACTGTTCTATTTTTTTTTCCACCATAGATTACTTTTGCCTATTTGAGAACTTCGTATGAATGGAATCATACAGTATGTACCAGTTTGTGTCTGGATTTTTTCATTCAGTATGATGATTTTGAGATTTATCTATGTTGTTGAATGTGTTACTGCTTCTTTCCTATTATTACTGAGTAGCATTACGTTGTCTAGCCAGCCCTGTCCCAGGTTCATTTCCCAGTCAGGGAACCACACCACCTGTCTGTGGGTTGTCATACTGTGGCAGCTGTATGTTGCTGTGATGCTGAAAGCTATGCCATGAGGATTTCAAATCCCAGCAGGGTCACCCGTGGTGGGCAGGTTTCAGCAGGGCTTCCAGACTAGGACTGACTAGGAAGAAGGACCTGGCCACCCACTTCCAAAAGAATTGGCCATGAAAATCCTATGAATAGCAGCGGAGTGTTGCCTGATATAGCTGCGGAAGATGAGAGGATGGCACAAAAAGACCCAGCAGGGCTCCACTCTGCTGTCCACAGGGGTGCTAGGAGCTGGAATCCACTTGAGGGCACTAACAACAAATTCCATTGTCTGGATATATCCGAGTTGTTTCATTTGTTCACCAGTTCATGATCTGGGCTATTTCCATTTTGGACTATTATAAATAAAGCTAAATAAAGCTATTATGAACATGTGTGCACAAGTTTGTGTAGACATTTAGTTTCATTTTACTTGGGTAAGTGCCTAGAAAGGAAATTGCCACGTCATAGGATAGTTGTTTTATAAGAAACTGCCAGAATATTCTCCAAAGTGGTTGTACAATTTATGTTCCCACCAGAACTGTATGAGAGTTCCTTTTCTTTCCAATCCTCCTCAACATTTGGGGTTGTCAGCCTTTATTTTTAGCCATTTAAGTAGGTGCGAAGTGGTAACTCATTGTGATTTTAATTATCATCTCCCGGATGACTAGTCATGTTGAGTATGATGTTTTTATGTGCTTACTGGCCATTTCTATATCGTCTTTTTTAAAGCGTCTGTTCAAATAGCTTGCCCACTTTTATGGGGTTATTTGTCTTTTTATTATTTACCCGTAGGCGTATATTTTTGAAAAACGGATCTTTTGAGGTGTATTTGACATACAGTAACTTGGACATGTTTAAACTGTACAGTCTGATAAGATGTGACATATATACATATAAAACCATGAAACCATCGCCACAATCAGGACAACAAACATAGTTTATTGTCTCAAATAAACTCTCAAAGTTTCCTTGTGTCCCTGTGTAGTCCCTCCCGCCTATCTCTTCTCGTTCCTCTTGTTCCCAAGCAACCACTGAGCTGCTCTCTGTCACTAGAGCCTAGTTCGCATGTTCTAGAGTTTTATATACATGGAATCATAAAGTATCATTTTGTATCTGGCTCATTTCTCTCAACAAAATTATTTTGAGATTCATCCATATTGTTATGTGTGTCAACAGTTCATTCCTTTGCACTGCTGAATAATATTCCAATGCAGGGACGTACAAGGGGTTTATGCATTGATTGGTTGATGGACGTTTGAGCTGTTTCCAGTTTGGGGTAACTACAGACAAAGCCACTGTGGACATTCGTGTGCAAGTCTTTATATGGACATATATTTCCTTTTATCCTGGGTAAATGCCAAGGAGTGGTATGGCTGGATACTATGCTAGAGGTATGTTTAACTTTTTAAAAAGCCTCCAAATTGTTTTCTACAGTGGTCGTCCTGTGTTACATTCCCGCCAGTGGAGTAGCAGTGAGGGAGAGTTCCAGTTGTTTTACACCCTTGTCAATACTTGGTCTGGTCAGTCTTTTTAGTTTTAGCTGTTGTAATAGGTGTCTAGTGTAACATCATTATGGTTTCCACCTGGATTTCCTTGACTAGTGATGTTGAGCATATTTTCATACCCTCATTAGCCATCTGTATATCTTCTTTGAAATGTCTGCTTAAACCTTTTGCCCATTTTATTATTATTTGGTTGTTTGTCTTCTTCTTAAGTCGTAAGAGCTCTTTATATATTCTAGGTACAAGCCTTTTGTCAGGTATAGTCTTTGCAAGCATTTTCTTCCAGTCTGTGGCTCATCTTTTCATTCTCTTAACAGTGTCTTTTGGAGAGCAGAAATTATAAATATTAAGTTAAATATATCAATCTGATTTATGGATGGTGCTTTGGATGTCATATCTAAGACATCTTGTCTAGTCTAAGTTCACAAAGATCTTGTTTTCTTTTAGAAGTTTTATGGTTTTAGGTTTTATATTTATTTAGATTTCTGATCCATTTTGAGTCAATTTTTTTATGTAGTGAAAGATATGGATCAAAGTTCATTTTTTTGCATGTGGATATCCAATTATTCCAGCATCATTTGTTGAAAAGACTATTTTTCTCCTCTGTATTTATTTTGCTGAAGAAGACACACCCTGAGCTAACATCTGTTGCCAATCTTCCTCTTTTTGCTTGAGGAAGATTGTCACTGAGCTAACATCTGTGCCAATCTTCCTCTATTTTTCGTGTGTGGGACACAGCCACATGGCTTAATGAGCAGTGTATAAGTCTGTGCTCAGGATCTGAACCTGCGAACGCCAGGCCACTGAAGTGGAGTGTGAACTTGATCACTATGCCACCGGGCCGGCCCCACGAATCTTCCTCTTTTTGCTTGAGGAAGATTCGCCCTGAGCTAACATCTGCTCCAATCCTCCTCCATTTTGTATGTGGGTCACCACCACAGCATGGCCTACAAGTTTTGTAGGTCTGTGCCAGGGATCTGAACCTGCAAACCCAGGCTGCCAAAGCAGAGCATGCCAAACTCAACCACTAGGGCATGGGACCAGTTCCTCCACTGTATTCTTTTGTGCCTATGTCAAAGATCAGTTGTCCACAAGTTTGTGGATCTGGGACTCTCTATGCTGTTCAATTGATGTATTTTATTTATTTATTTTTTTAAAGATTTTATTTGTCCTTTTTCTCCCCAAAGCCCCCTGGTACATAGTTATATATTTTTAGTTGTGGGTCCTTCTAGTTGTGGCACGTGGGATGCTGCCTCAGTGTGGCCTGATGAGCGGTGCCATGTCTGCGCTCAGGATCCGAACCGGTGAAACCCTGGGCCGCCACAGCAGAGCACGTGAACTTAACCACTCAGCCACGGGGCTGGCCCCTATATTTTCTATCTTTACATGAGTAACACACAGTTTCATTTAGTGTAGTTTTACAATAATCTTTGAAATCAGATAGAATAAATTCTACAACTTTGTTCCTTTCAGGGTTGTTTTAACTACTCTAGGTTTTCTGCATCCCCATACAGTCATGCGTCATTTAACGACGGGGATACATTCTGAGAGATGCATCGTTAGGCAATTTTGTCATTGTGCAAACATCACAGAGGGTGCTTACACAAACTGAGGTGGTATAGCCCACTACACACCTGCGCTATATAGTACTAATCTCATGGGACCACCAAGGTATATGCGGTCTGTTGTTGAGCAAAACATTGCTACGTGGTGCATGACTGTATACATTTTAGAATCACCTTAGTTTCTAGAAAAAAAGTCTGCTGGGATTTTGAATGAGTCTGGATTGAATTCTACAGATGAATTTGGGGAGAATTGACATATTAAAATATTGAGATTCTTGACTCATGAACGAGGCCTCTCTCTCCATCTATTTCATCTTTAATTTCTCTCAGCAGTATGCAAAAAAACTGCGAAAGTTTTCAATGTACAGGTTTTTCATATCTTTTGTCAGATTTATTCCTAAGTATTGCGTATTTTTGATGCTGAGTGGTATTATTTATACAATTTTAATTTCTGATTGTTCATTGCTACTATATGTAAATGCAATTGATTTTTGTATATTGATCTTCTATCCTGCAACCTGCTAAACTCATAAATTAGTTCTAGTAACTTTCCTGTAGATTGCATCACATTTTTTACATAGACAACCCTATCATCTGTGAGTAAAGACACTTTACTTACTTCTTCCTTTCCAATCTGGATGCCGTTTGTTTCTTTTCCTTGCCTAATTTCCCAGGCTTGAACTTCCAATACAGTATTGACTAGAAGGTATAAGAGTGGACATCCCTGTCTTGTTTCTGATTTTGGTGGGGAAAGGACTCAGTCTTTCACCACTAAGGATGATGTCAGCTGTAGGTTTTTCACAGGTGCCCTTTATCAAATTGAGGAAGTTCCCTTTTATTCCTAGATTTCTGTGAATTTTTATCAGGAATGGATGTTGGATTCTGTCAAATGCTTTTTCTGTATCTATTGAGAAGATTGCTATAGACTGAATGTGTCTCCCCCCAATTCACATGTTGAAATCCTAACTCCCAAAGTAATGGTATTAGGAGGTGAGGCCTTTGGGAAGTAATTAGGTCCCAGTGGGGTCAATGCCCTTATAAAAGAGGCTCCAGAGGTGCCTCGTCCCTTCACCATGTGAGGACACGGTGAGAAGGTGCTGGCTGTGAGCCAGGAAGCGAGCCCTCACCAGAACGTGACCAAGCTGGTGCCTTGATCTTGGACTTCCAGCCTCCAGAACTGTGAGAAATCAATTTCTGTTGTTTCTAAGGCACCCAGTCTGTGGTATTTTGTTATAGCAGCCCCAATGGACTAAGACGTAGATCATATGGTTTTTATTTTTTAGTTTGTTAATGTGCTGAATTATGTTGATAAAATTAAACATTTAAACCGAACTTACATTCTCATGATAGACTACTTAGTCATAATACATTATCATTTTTGTATCTTGTTGAACTCTATTTGTTAAAATTTTTTTAGAATTTTTGCCTGTATGTTCATGAAGCATATTGGTCTGTAGTTTTCTTTTCATATAATGCCTTAGTATGTTTTGACATAAAGGTAATGCCGGCCTCAATGAAGGAGTTCAAAGTATTCTTTCCTCCTCACTTTTCTGGAAGAGTCTGTGTAGTATTGGCATTATTTCCTCCTTAAAAAATTGGTAGAATTTGAGTTTTCCCCTTGCATATTTGTTCACATGTGAGGGTGGGCCACAGAGGGTGCCATGGTGGGTGGCTAAAACTCTGAGACCCAGAAGACAGAGTTCAGGGTGACCACAGCAGAAGGAAACTCCTGGAGAGGAGAGAACCACAGACAGGGAACCCAAGTTTGGCACAAACACTCTGCCCAAATCTCTGGTGATCCCTGGGCTGTGTGCGTGCAGGGCAGACTCCAGAGGAAAGAAATGAGCAGAGATCTCAGTTGATGCCCAGCAGAGGGGAGACAGAGCCTGGAGGCTGAGTTTAGCTAAGTTAACTGCCTGCTAAAGCAGCAGCAGCTGCAGCAACAACACCTCTCCGGAGAAGTATAACAGGAAGCAAGAAGCCGGAGCTGGAGCACATTATTGACGATGTCCGGGATGTGATGCTTAAATCCCAGAATAAACAAAAAAATGTGGTAACACTGAAGAGAAAAGCATTCAAGGGAAACTGAACTCTGAGATGAGTCTGATACCGTAATTCATAGGCACTATTTTTAAAGCAGCTATTATAAATATGCCTAGTGACATAAAGCATGCTAATAATTATATTTTTACAATGATATATTTGCCTGTTTATTAACATATAAAATAACAGTATCTGAAAGTGGTTTACCAACTCCCTAATTTTGAAGGAATGCTATTTCTAGTAAACATTTCTAGGTATCTGCAATAGCTGTAATGTGATATGAAAATATTTACTTCTGTTGGTGACAAAGTCACATGTACTGCTATTAATACTGTAGTTTGTTGTCTACATTCATAATTGATGGAAGTGCTAAATTTTAATTAGTTTTGTAAAAATAAAGATGCATTTTCCCCCATTCAAGCTTACAGGTCCCTTGAGTTCTTAATGTCAGGTTAAGATCTTAAGGTCACAGATACTGGTTTTCCTGGTAGAGCTAAAAACCATGCCTTGCATATAGTAGGTGGCCAATAAATATTTCTTGAGTAAATGAATACATCTGTGTTCTAATCTAGTGGTTAAAGGGTTAAAATTTGTTCCCTAATTTTTCATATCCATTTTAATAATGAATTGATAATAAAAGCTACTATTTGATGATTGTTTGATATGTGCCAGGCACTGTTTTATAAACTTTATCTACCTTATTCTTACAACAACCCTGAGGCAGGTACTATTATTACTTTCATTCTATCATTATGGAGACTGAGCCAAATAGAGTTTCAGCAATCTCTTTAAGGTCACACAGCTGAAATTAGGACTCAGATCTGTTTGAGTCCAGAGTCTGTGTTCTTCAAGTATTAAGATGAACTTACTCTGAGTGTCTCAGGCCTGGAGACTGGCCCGCAGTTCCAATACATCCTGCCCCAGAATCCCTCATTGACTAAGGCTCAGAGTAGTTCTCTTTACCCTCATCTTCTTGGGATACCTGTAGATACCTGTAGTGTCATCTGGGGCAATCTCAGCCATCCCCTCAGCCTTACACAACCATCTCAAAGCCAAAGGCCACCAGGCCTGGGTCTCCAGGACTGAATTCTCTTCTGTTCTCCAAATCCTAATGTTCATTTGCCTACTGGACACCTTCCTCTGATGTTCTTGAAGCTCCTCTACACAAACACAAGGGTCACCTTCTCTGTGAGGACTTTCCTGACCCTTCCTAGGTAGATCTACCCACCTGGTGTCCTTGCTGTACTCCGTATACACCCTACCACCACCCCACTAATATCATATTACCCAATTCGTTTACATGCCTGCCTCTCCTTACCATTCTGGCAGCTCCTTGAGAACAGAGACCATTTCTAGTTTGTCTCTAAATTCCTAGGAATTAGACCAACATCTGACACAGTAGGTACACAGTAGATGCTTGTTGAATGGGTGAATACATGAATAAATGAATGAATTATACTCATCAACTCTACTACTTAACACTTTGGCTGTTATGTTTAAGATGACTTACATATAATCAAGTACGTAATGTAAAATGTAAATGTAAAGTGTAAAAACGTAAAAGTAAAAACTACACGGTCCAAGGGAATACTAATGAATTTGTAAAATAAGAAATTTTAGCAGGGAAAAAGAAACTATTGAAAAGAACTGACTGTAAATGTTAAAACGGAAAAACACAGATCTGAAGTGAAAAATTCACTGGATGGTCTTAATAACAGACTGCAGATGACAGAAGAATCACAAAGTTGAAGATCGAGCAACAGAAAAGACCCATTCTGATACACCAAGAGGAACAAAGATTAAAAAAGAACATCACCTCAGTAGTATGTGTGTTTAACACAGGTGTATTTAGAATCCCAGGAGAGGGTAGAGAGAATGAGGAAGAAAAACTATCTGAAGAAATAATGGCTGAAAATTTCCAAAATTTGGGAAGGTCGTTTACAGAATTAAGAAGCTCAATGAACCCCAAGGAGGACAAATACAAAGAAAAAACACATCTAGGCACACTGTAGTCAAACTACTGAAAACAAAGGGTAATGAGAAAAATCTTGATAGCAGTAAGAGTAAAATGAAGTGTTACATATAGGAGAACACTAACGAGCATTTTCACTGACTTCTCATTAGAAATGGTGGCGGCCAGGAGACAGCAGAACAACATCTTTAAAGCTGAAAGCAAAAGCCCCTTTCAGCTCAGAACTCTCCATCCAGGGAAAACATACTTCAAGAATGAAGGTGAAATAAGTCTATCTTTTTTTTTCCTTTTTCTCCCCAAAGCCCCCCGGTACATAGTTGTATATTCTTCGTTGTGGGTCCTTCTAGTTGTGGCATGTGGGACACTGCCTCAGCGTGGTTTGCTGAGCAGTGCCATGTCCACACCCAGGATTCGAACCAACGAAACACTGGGCTGCCCGCAGCGGAGTGCATGAACTTTACCGCTCGGCCATGGGGCTAGCCCCAGTCTATTTTGAGATACATGAAAGCTAAGAGAATTCAACAGACCTGCACTAAAAGCTGTGCTGAAGGAGGTCTTTCAATCTGAAGAAGCATGGCAGTGGAGGGAAGTCTTCATCTTTGGGCAGAGACGAAGAACATCAGAAATGGCAAACATGTGGGTAATATTCAAGAATGTTTGCTCTTAATTTCTTTACAATACACATGACTTTTTAAAGTAAAAAATTTCATTGTCTATTACATGGTTTATAATGTATGTAAATGTAAACATGTGGCTGCTGCAGCATAAAGGACGGGGTGGAGGGGGAATGAATCTGTAAGGCAGAGAGCTTCTTACATTTATGTACTCGAAGTAGACAGTGAAATTAAGGATCTATGCTATAATCTCTCGAGCAACCACTAAAAACAATGCAAAGAGGTATAGCCACAAATATAACAGAAAAATTAAAATGGAATTCTAAAAAAGATTTGATTAACCCAGGCAGAAAAGGGGAAACATAGGCACAAAAATAGATGGGACAGATAGTAAAAGGACAGACCTAGGTCCAATCGTATGAAAAATTACATTCAATGTAAATGGGCTACACACTCCAATTAAAAGGCAGAGCTTGTCAGAGTAGATAAATGAGCAAAGCTTTTGTTGTCTATACAGATGCAATTTAAATATAAAGACAGGGTGGTTGATAGTAAGAGGATGCAAAAGGATATACCATAGAAAGAGTGAGCATAAGGAAGTAAGAATGGCTATATTAATACTAGACAAAGTCGAGTTCAAGACAAAGACTCTTACCTGAGATACAAGGTAACAATGATGTAAGGGTCAGTGAATCAGGAACCCATAGAATCCATCAATGTGTTTGCATCCAATAACAGAGCTTCAAAATATATTAAATAAAATTTGACAGGATAAAGGAGAAACAGACATTTCCACAATTATAGTTGAAGATTTTAACACCCCTGCCACAGCAATTGATATAACACTAGACAAGAAATTAGTAAATACATAGAATATCTGCGTGACATTATCAACTGCCTTTACTTCAGTGATATTTATGGATACCCTACACAAAAAGGCCGGAACACAGACTCTTTACAAGGACACATTGTACATTCACGTGGATAGATCAAATGCTGGGCCATAAAACAAATCTCAACAAATTTAGAAAGATTTGAGATGTTTACATAATAAGTTATCTGCATCCACAGTGAAGTTTTCTTACAAATTAATGACAAGAATATATCTCCAGATATTTGGAAATTTGACATCACACTTCTAAAAACCCCGTGGGTCAAAGAAGAAACACAAAGGAACCTAGAATATATTTCAAATGGAATAATAATAAAAATAAAACAAGAAAATTAGTGGAAGGTAGCTAAAAAAGTGATTAGAGGAAGACTCATTGCTTCAAATGTTTATATTAGGAAAAAACAAAGGCATAAAATCAACGCCTTGATATTCCCTCTAAAGAAGCTGGGAAAAGAAGAGCAAAACAAATGCAAAAGAAGTGGAAAAAAGGAAATCATAGAGATAAGAGCAGAAATAAAGGAAATAGAAAACAAACTATGGAGAAAACTAGCAAAGCCACACATTTTTAAAAGAGCAATACAATTTATTAGCCCTAGTAAGACAAATCAAGAAAAAAGAGAACATACACTAACCATCAATGTCAGGAATGACACAGGGATATCACACAGGTGTTAAAAGAATCATGAAGAACTATTATGAGCATCCTTATGCCAGTAATTTTGATAACAGATAAAATTGACACATTCTTTGGAAACAAAGCAATTTACCAAAACTGACAACAGATTAAATAGAAAATATGAATAGCCCTATTTCTTATGAATAAATTTAATTTACTATCAAAAAACAAAACATATACAACAAAAGAAAATCCAGGCCCAGATGATTTCATGGGTAAATTCTAGCAAATATTTAAGGAATGAAAATCGCCAATCTTACACAAACTCTTTCAGAAAATACAGGAGCAGGGACAATTCTCAGCTCATGTTGTGAAGCTAGGATAAACTTGGTACTAAACCTTGATAAACAGATTATGTAAAAACAGAAAGTTACAGAAAAATATCCCTTATGAACAGTGTAGCAAAAATCCTTAACTATCAACAAATCAAATCCAGCAATATATAAAAGGAAGTTTTCTCTTGCCTGTTTGCAGATGTGGGGCACGGATGTTCAGTGACTTGTTTAGGCCACTCAGCTGTTAGGTGCTCACCTGACACAAAGCCCCCACACTATCCAATGCAACGGCTGCCAGGGTGGTTGAGGGCTGGCTTTTCCGCGGAAAGCGTGTGATGAGGCTCCTGGCATGGGAACAGCCAACCTGTCTCTGTTGTGGAGATTTCAGGTTTAATGAGGGCAGGCTCCGAGTACACAGTGTCACTGGAGACCCATCCTTAGATTCCTCTGTCCATCTGACTCCTGGTTTCCAGCGCCCCCACCATTTGCCCCAGTTATTGATGGAGGCCTTTTTGTAGCTGGAGGGCCAAAGGGCGTGCCTGTTGCTTCTGGAGGCTCCAAGCCTTGCCACATCAAGCCCTTACCAGGCAGGTCCTGTTGTCACGGCAACACTCATCCCTCCTCACGTGCTCTCCTGATGCATCCATTTGCCCTGCACAGAGACGCCAAGAACTTTCTCCCTCATCTACCCGGGGCTGCTGGGAGCACGTGGCCTTAGCACAGAGGGCCTGGGAGACCCCTGTGGGGCGCAACCCCGGGCTGAGCCGCTGAGGCGCGGTCTTTGGACTCTGGGGCTCTAGGGCCTCCAGGCGGCCTCCAGAGCCTGCTGCGCAGCCCGCAGGCGGCGTTTCCGTGCGCAGTAGCGCCCGTGAGTAGGAGAAAGTGAGCAGGTGACCAGGGGCTTCACTCAGTCGGGACCCCAGGATCACCGCAGGCGCCCCGGGTAGGGGCCGGATCGCTGCCCCGGCGGGCAGTGGGGGCGGGAGGGGGGTCTGCCGGGCGCTGTTGGGAGGAGAGGTGGGGCTTCCTGCTGCAGGGGTCTGGGGAGGGGCGGGTTCCTGGCTGCCGGGGAGGAGGCTGGCTGCAGGTGCAGACCCGCAGGTGCTGGTGGGAGGGGCAGGGGCTCCCGACTCAGGGGGCGCGGGAGGGGGCATCCAGATTGCCAGGGTCAGAGTAGGGAGCTGGGGCGCTGCGGTGCGGCGCTAGGAAGGAGAGGATGGGAAGGCTCCCGGCTGCGGCGGTCTGGGGAGGGGAGGGCTCCCCGGCGGCTGGGATGCAGACAACGGTGGGAGGGGCTCGGGCTGCTGTGGCCAGATCAGGGGCGTCCACACGGGTGAAAAGGAGTCGCCTCCTTGCGGAGGTGAGGGTGCAGTGGGGAACTCTGAGCCGCCGGGGGGCGGGGACGAGAACTGGCAGGGGAAGAGCTCTAAGCCGCCGCTGAGGGGGGGCGGGTGGGCTGTCTGTCATCAACGTCTGCCTCCCCTTTGCAGGCCACCAAGGCAGAGACTGTGACAGTCTGTGCGCCCCTGTCCAATCACGCTCTCTCCCCCCAGGTCCCAGCCATGGCACTGGCGATGCTGCGGGACTGGTGCAGCTGGATAGGCATGAACGCAAAGCGCTCCCCGCTCATCATGAGCATCCCGAGGACTGCGAGGACCGGGAATTCCAGGAGGCCGTGCGGGCTGCCCTGTGGCCCCTGGGCAGGTACCGAGTGCTGGGCAACGTCTTCAGAAAGGAGCTCGGGTTCAGGGTCGCCTTGGTGGAGTTCACTGAGTATTTAAATCGAAGTTTGGTCCCCCGACAGATACCAGGCAAGGGGGACTCTGGGATGTGTTCTTCCTGCCCCAGGGCCCTGATTCTGAGTCACGGGATAGACCCAATTTCCCTGCACAGCCCCAGAGGCAAGCAGTGGCTGGCAGGGCAGGTGTGGCCGGAGCTGCAGGGGACGCTGGACTTACAGGTGTGGCAGGAGGTTCAGGTGAGGCTGGAGCCCCAGGTGCTGCAGGTGCCCCAGGTGAGGCAGGAGCTAAAGATGTGGCAGGATCTGCAGGTGAAGAAAGAGCTGTAGGTGAGGCAGGAGCTCTAGGTGACGAAGGAGCTGCAGGTGTGGCAAGAGCCATCAACGAGGCAGCAGCCCGGAGCCAGCACTGGCGGCAGACGTTGCAGTCTCTGCTCGATGCTATGGCCTACCGGGTACTGAGAAGGTTTTCTGGGGTGGAAGAGCCGGGCTGTGGAGAAGAGTCTTTTGAGAACTGGCTGCACCATGCCAACGACACGCTGTACCTGTGGCGCCACATGTCAGAGAGGGAGAGGAGGAGGAGACTGGTGGAGAGCTTGGGTGGCCCCGCGCTGGATCTCATATGCGGCCTCCTGGAGGAAAATCCCGACACCCCTGCGCAGGACTGCCTGGCCGCGCTGGTGCAGGTGTTCGGGAGCAAGGACGCCCAGATGACCGCACGGCTGAAGTTCCTGACTTGTGCGCAGAGGCCCCAGGAGGCTCTCTTTGCCTATGTGATGCGCCTGGAAGGCCTGCTGCAGGCGGCCTTGGAGAAGGGGGCCATCCGGCCCGCCATCGCAGACCAGCTGCACGCCAGGCAGGTGCTGATGCAGGCCCGGCCCAACGAGACGCTCGAGAACAAGCTGAGGAGGATGCGTCTGGAGAGGAGGCCGCCTGGCTTCCTGGGGATGCTGCAGCTCATTCGGGAGACGGAGGCGTGGGAGGCCGTCCCGGCTAGAAGTGAGCAGTTCCAGGCAAAGGAAAGTGCCCCCGTGGACAGCAGAGGCTTGGCCGTCGCCCAGGCCACCCCAGACAATGAAGATGCCAACAAGGCCTCCACAGTAAATAAAAATGCTGCTGAGATCAATTCTGCCATAGAAAGTCCTGCCCCAGCCAATGCAGATTCTGCTGAGGCTTCCTCAACCAAAGAAGATGCTGTTTCTCTTGAAGATGCTGCTGAGATTGCGTCTAGTGAAGGGACCACCAAGGCCTCCCCTGCCACTCAGAAAGATGAAAATGCTCCCACTCCTGCAGGGCTAGGTCAGGCAGGACCCTTAGAGGCCCCTGGGGGCCCCACCCCTGCCCAGATGGGCAGTGCTTCTGGGGTGGGCCCAGGAGGTCCTGGTGGTGACCCAGAGGGCCTTGCTCAGGCAGGAAACAAGGAGGCTGAGCAGACCCCCGAGGAGGGGCTCAAGGCCATCCAGGAGGAGCCGGGAAACAAGGACAGGGCTGAGGAGATGAGCCGCCCCGAGTTCTCCTCAGGCAAGTAGGCTCAGAAGGCCCAGGGGCCCTCTCTCCTCCCAGGCAGCAGAGCCCTGGAGGCAGGGGGAGGCGAGGCCAGGGTAGCCGCCTCACCCCACATGGGGAGCAGGCCCAGAGAGGGGCCTAATCAGCCCAAAGCAAGCCCCCGGCTCCCCACGTTCCCCAAGGGGCCCTATGCCCCACCTTCAGCCCTTCCAAGTGACCAAGAATGACCATGTGTTACCCTAAATGGGGAGGGGAGAGGTGCGCCCCCGCCCATAGCAGCACCACACCGAGCCCGAGCCCCAGCCCCATCCCAAGCCCTACCAACTCATGCAGCCAGCCTGGTGGCTCCCCTGAGTGGCAGCCCCGGCCTGGGTGAGGGGCACCTGAGGACGTCTGCCACCTGCACGGGCCTGGGAGATGTTAGGGGTCATCTCAAGGGTGCCAGCTGTTCTGGGCCTCCCAACAAGGGGAACCCCGTTCACTGTCACCTGGGGCAGGCTTCTCCCTGTTCTGGGAAGCCCACTTGTATCTCTGTGGACCCCGTAGTGACCCATGTGTCAAGTAATCCACCCCGAACACATATACACACACAGGTGCCATCATTTCTGTGCAGAGCCGTTAGGTGTGTGTGATCCCGGGGTGGGGGTCCTGGCCTAGCAGGCAGCACCCTCTCAGCCCTGGCACGTGCTGTGAGCTTCAGTACCAGCCCAGGCTCTGCTCACTCTCGTCTAGTGCTGTGAACTCAACTCTGCCTTCTCGGTGGAGATTTAGGCCAATTGCTGCTTGTTCCTGTGAAGATGTGTGTGTTCTTATCTGAGCAGTGGCCCCCACCCCACCCCAGAGACCCCGAGCTCAGTCCCAGGAGATGCCTGGAAGGATGGACAGACGAGGGCGTGGCCGGCGCTCACCCCGGGACCTCGGGAAGGAAGAACTGGAGCAGGGACATGGAGGGGCTGCGGGAGGCTCCAGTGGGACTGTGCTCTCATGTGCCAACCTGTTGTTACTTGTGGCTCAGTTTCCTGGGCTTGGTGTGGTGTCCCCTGTTGTATTTTCCAGCGTCCTGTGACTGTCCTATGTGGCCCATAGGGCAGGGCCCCACCCCAGAATGTCAGCCAGGGGGGGAGGGGGTGCTCTGGAGTGAGAAACATCACCGGTGTCCATCGTCCTGGCAAGAGGCTGAGCGTGGGTTCTGAGGAAGGGAGATTATGGCGGAAGGGCCTCAATATGAGGGGGGGTGGTGGAGCTGAGGCATCTTGTTAGAGACCCTGGTTGGGGGGGGGGGCCCAAGACCTGTGGACTGTAGTGGCCATTTGAAATTCCTCTCTGTGTTGTCATTCCCTTCTTTTCAATGGTTTCAGTAAATGGTCCCCTTCAATAAATTTCATTGACTGTTTCAGCTGCGTGTCATCTCTGCCATGGGCAATTGAGGGAAGGGTGCTGGGTGTGAGCAGGGTGCTAGAAAAGGATTCCTGCTCAGCACACATGGGAGATTTCTCCAGTGATAGAGTAGAGTTAGCACTTTTCCTGGCAGACTAGGACATAGTGAGGGCTTTTCCTCCTTTTTATAGGTGTAGCACAAAGCTTAGAGTTTCCAATGGTCTTCATCTTGGGATGGTCCTGTCCCTTGGTCTGTTGAAAATGGGTGGGAGTGATCTCGGTTTTCTCCTTGAATGGGGGAAGGCGAAACTGGCATCCAATGCTTGGGATTCAGACTGCTAAATGTGCAAGATGCATGGAGTGGGGCCATTGCAACAAAGAACTCTCATGCCCCAGGGGCCTTTAGCATCCTGCATGAGAGAGCCAGTATTAGACGGAGAGTCTTTGAAAAAGCTGAAATGTGTTTTAATTAGAGGTTCCTGAAATGTGAAAACCTCACCATGGAACAACAATGACAACACTTTCTGAGCAACGGAAAATGTCTAGACACTTGTGGGGTTTCGGGGAGAGGGGGCACAAACATGTCCATACCACCCCCACCTGCAGACTTGCTCTATGGAGAACAGAAACACCAGGCTAGTGAGATGCACAATGAAAGAGGACCCAGAATATCTGGGCAAAGGGAAAGGTGGCAATGCTCTCTGAAGGGGTAGTGTTCAGGGATGGGGGGAGCTGGGTTTCATGCTAAGGGCAGGGGGAAGGTGTTGGACCTTTTAGGCGGGCCCAGTGGACCCTGCTCATTCCTTCTGTCCAGGGAAGTTGCCACTTTATGAGGCTGAGCCTACCTCCCAGGAGAGGGCTGGAAAATACCAGGTCGGCCCTCTCCCGGCTTTCCTCACAGCTAGGGTGTGGGCACATGACCCTGCCCCGCCAATCAGATGCACCTGCTGCCAACTGAATCAGGGTCCAGAACTGGGAAGAAGCAGGAGC